CTACCAATGGTACCTTGGGATGCTTATCCAAGTTTCAAGTTTCTTTTCAGAAGATGAAATAAATCACTAATACTTACCTGATTGTAATCATTTTTCTTTCTTTGTCAGGTGAGTAGCATTTTTTCATTTTTATGATATTAGCAGGATATTGGAACCGTTCCGAGTTGATAAAAAAGAGGGGCTGAGGAATTCTGGAATATACTTCATCACCCAATGGAAGCATCCATGCATCCAGGGCAATACCACACCTGCAGGTGTTTGTAGACAATGATAAAAGAAAGCTGGTTACACGCTGGCCGACATACAGCGTTCCTGATGATGCCAGGATTAATGGACATGCACCACACTGGTTCATTACAGGTTAATCTCACTGGTACTATACTTCAGTGTGGGAAGGGAATATGATTAGCTTCATAAGGCGGTCGACTTGGCATTACATAATCATTTTCTTTAGGAGACATTTAGGAATCGTGACCTTTAGAACGATATAATATGCTTAAAATGTTTTCATTTTTGTTACGGTCTTCAAAATACATTCTCGAACAAGTAACGATTTCTTCAGAACTGTAGGGTGTCTGAAGAAATACAATACATGCACTATTGCCCCTGTTTCCAGCACGTACGGCCAGTCTGTGGTTGATTTATTATGCCTTTTTCAGAGCAACCGTTGGACCACTTGCTTTGAGGTACTACACCTGAAAAAGTGGGGCTTGAAGAAAAACATAGGGGGCGTATCATTTGAAAATGTAACTTTCTTTTTAAAAGTATGTTTATCCTGTTTCTGGACCTTTTGGACACTCTGTTTTATGTGCTAAATGGGCAAACTAAGATAATTCCCTTAAATGGAAACCGATTTTAAGGAAGAAATGTGAGATGAAGTTTCAGAGATGATCCTACCCACTTTCTTTTTTAAATTTTTTTTTTCCAACGTGTATTTATTTTTGGGACAGAGAGAGACAGAGCATGAACGGGGGAGGGGCAGAGAGAGAGGGAGACACAGAATCGGAAACAGGCTCCAGGCTCTGAGCCATCAGCCCAGAGCCCGACGCGGGGCTCGAACTCACGGACCACGAGATCCTGACCTGGCTGAAGTCGGACGCTTAACCGACTGCGCCACCCAGGAGCCCCGAGCCTACCCACTTTCTAACTGGTTGGCTCTACATGATCTCATCAGTCTGTGATGACATAGTTCAAGAAAGAAAGTATTTTTTTCTGGGGTCTGGTCCTGACTGTCACCCAAGTTAAGTGTAATTTAAGACCTCTGTCCATCTTAAGGATGGGAAAAAAAAATTAAAAATGCCCTGCATATTGAGGAAGTCTAGAAATACTACAAGACGCATTACTGGCATCACAATCATATGTCATATATGAAATGTATACGGGGGCGCCTGGGTGCTCAGTCGGTTGGGCATCCGACTTCGACTCAGGTCATGATCTCGCGGTCTGTGGGTGCGATCCCCACGTCAGGCTCTGTGCTGACAGCTCAGAGCTGGAACCTGCTTCAGATTCTGTGTCTCCCTCTCTCTCTGCCCCTCCCCCACTCACGCGCTGTCTCTCTCTCCCCAAAATAAACACTAAAAAATAATAATAAAATAAAATGATGTATAAAGATAAATTTCCAAGTGAAAATGTTAAGTCCTTAAGCAGATAAATAAGAATGATGAAGAAAAATATATAGGAATGGGGAGATCTTATGATAGCAAGAGAAGTAGATTATTTCTGTCTAGGAAAATTCATATAGAGTACTTATGGAGGCAAAAGAACAGACTTATAAGCCCTGAAGGGTTCCTTCCTCATTAAGAATTTGAAAAATACTCTATCTCACATAGGTTATCACTTCCTCTCTTCCAATAGCTTACTATTTTCTCTCTTTGCCTCCTCTTACCTGAATCTCTGGTCTTCACTAAGAGTCTGAATAACTGTGGCTCCACCAAAAGAATGTCCAATTACTGCTAATTTATTCCTGTCAATAGAGTCCTATATGAAAAAGCATGATATATATTCATAACTATCTCACAGGTTGTTAGAATAGACTAAATTAGTTTTTAAATTATAAAATTATTAATAATTTCATGGGCATGGTTAAGTACCTTGATTTCTTATAAAAGAAATACATACATACATACACACAAATACACACATTTACATACACGTGTATGTACACATATATGTATATACGTATACACTAACACACACACACATGCACACACATTGAGCATTCATAGAAGTTCAGAAGTGAACTTAATGATCTTCCTAGGCACCCACACTTGCAACACCAGCATCATTGCTGACTTCTGCCTCTCCCTCCGTCCACATTTAATTAGTTTGTTCATTTCATGAGTATCTATTGAACACCTGCTCTGTGCCAGGCACCGTAGTTCATTTTCAATGAGCTCCCAGTCTATCAGTGAAGAAAGAGACATGGACACGTGATGCAAATACAACAGGGTGGTGCCCAGGAGCTAGGAGGGTGATAGATAGTTCGCCAGTCCAGGGCGGGGGTGACAATGGGGTCCAAGAAAGCTTCTCGGAGGAGGTGATGCCTGACTTGAGATGAAGATTAAGCAGGACTCAGGGAGAAGAATGTGTCAGGCCAAGGGCGAGACAGGAGAGGGAGTAGACGGTCGAGGGACAAGAAACTCTTCACTGTGTCAGGAGAACAGACGATCATCTTCTACCCAGACTGAAGCCCTTCTACCTAGTCCCCTCTACTCCCTGCCCTCCGTCCTCCATACACACTCTTGGGTCTTTGTGCATGCCCTCCACTTTGATACTCTTCCACCTCCTGTCCATATTCTGCTGAAAACTTTTGGCCACCATTTCAGGATCACGCTCAACAATATGCAGGAGCCATCCGAGAAATGACGACACTTCTGCTGGAGCTCTTGAGTTGAACCACAGAAACGGCTGCTTCTGTAGCTCAAAGGTGACTGTGGGCAATCTCATCTACAGTTCAGCCTAGTTCATTCCTCATCACTATAATACTTCACATACACTTTTTTTTTTTTTAATTTGCAGCCTTTTGTCACACGGTTCCAGGCATTACAGCAGAAAAGCAGATGATAAGGAATAATAAAGAACTACAGGACAACGGAAATGACTTTTTTCAAGCTCACCTTCAGTTGTTCCACATCAAACTCTACATCTAATGCATTCTTCACTGGCCTTCCACGATCAATGTCCAGAATCAAATCGAGAGCCTGGGAACACTCCTTTGCCCTTTGGCGCACCTAGTGTGATTATTAGAACAAGGAAATGACCAGTAAAGAAGCTGCGATACTTATTTTAAAGTGTGTGTACGAGTTGCGTGTGGGAAAGACGATTGATTGCTTATAAACTACAAATGTCTCAGTGATTAGTGACTGGAACACAACCTAGTGTAAGGACACAGGCTTTAGCCCTGCAGGTAGTTACAGCTGAGTCCAGATCCTGTCTCTGCTGCTTCCCCACGGTGTGACTTCAGACGGTTTCCTTAACTTCCGCAGCTCCCATTTGTTGTGTAATAATGCCTACCTCAGTGAAGTGTGGGTGGGGTTAGATGCAATGACATATGGAAAACGCCCATTGTAGTAAAGCTTGGCACAAAGGTGGAAGCCAATGTGCCCTCTATCACTTATCTTCCAGACTCCCCCGTGAGCCAAATACGGTTATTATTCACTACTTTGCAACAGGTAAAACATAGAAGCAAAATAGAGTAAGTCGCTTGATCGAGATCATCCCACTAGGAAGCGAGGGCATCAGGATTCAAACATAGAAATTTGGATTCTAAGGCCTGGACTCTTAATACTGTCCTATACTGCTTCTCCAAAAAGTAGTGCTTTTAATATTGCCTTGGCAGCGAGGGTATTTATGGATTCCTTTTCTAGCACCTCTGAGATTCTAAAATTAGAAGTTCTTTTTTTTTTTTTTTTTTTAAATTTTAACGTTTATTTATTTTTGAGACAGAGAGAGACAAAGCATGAACGGGGGAGGGTCAGAGAGAGAGGGAGGCACAGAATCCGAAGCAAGAGCTGTCAGCACAGAGCCTGACGCGGGGCTCGAACTCACGGACTGTGAGATCATGACCTGAGCCGAAGTCGGACGCTCAACCGACTGAGCCAGCCAGGCGCCCCTAAAATTAGAAGTTCTGATGCCAATGATTTCTGAATATCTACTGTCATCTCTCAAGATGTTTATGCTGGTCTTTTGTTTTTACCATGATCCAGACTTTTCATCAAGGGAGCTGTATCACTCTGAAGATCTTCTGACAGGCCTTTTGGGAATGGGAAATGGGAGAGCTCGGAGCAGACTTTACCATGTGCAAATTAAATCAGCAAGCATCATCATCGTGCATACGATTTTTAGTCACCACGCCTCCTCTTGCTGCTGCAACGTACCTGCTCATTTCGTAGAGGCACCTCCTGGTCCCCTGGTTTTAGGGTTTTAAGATAGAGCCAAGACTTGTTCCCTATTTCTACAGCAGACTGGTCCCTGAAATAGTAAGTCGCAGACGCAGATCCGTCTCTACAACACAAACAAATCAATTACTTACATTCGCTCTTCCTCATCCCCATCCCGCACTTCACTCTGATCTTTCCGACTTCCCTTTCTTCCCTTTCCTTTGTTTTAAAACCGTTCTCACTCGCCTGTGGACTGTGAGGAACTTAACAGAAGACGGTGGGGGAAGGGAAGGGGAAAAAAAATAGTCACAAACAGAGAGGGAGGCAAACCAGAAGAGACTCTGAAATACAGAGAACAAACTGAGGGTTGCAGGGGGAGGGGCGGAGCAGAGGGGCAAAATGGGTGATGGGCATTGATGAGGGCACTCGCTGGGATGAGCACTGGGTGTTGTAAGTAAGGGATGAATCGCGGGAATCTACTCCCGAAGCCAAGAGCACACTGTGTGATGGCTAACTTGACAATAAATTGTATTTTAAAAATAAATAAATGAAAACAAAAATAAAACCAAAGAGGCCCCCAGGGGAGTCCTCAGAAAGAGCCATCGCTGCAGGTCAAGTCAACCCGTCCCATCGTCATTGTTCTAGGAGGCCCCCTCGCAAACTCATGCGTCGAATCCAATCCCAGTGCTGCCATTTTTTCACTGTGTGATTTACGGCAAGTTACTCAACCTTTCCCAGCTTCATTTTTCCTCCTCCTTAAAAGAGTGACCACAGTAACCATTTCAGAGGGTTGTTCCAAAGATTAAATGATATATGAACATGGCACACAATGACAACTCTAGAAATGCTAGCTGGTTTTCAACTCCTGACAATTTAACTCAGTCCCCTTTTTCCCCCCTCATCTAGTAACCATAGTCGACAATTTCATTGATTTCTTTTTATAAATCTTCTTAGAAGTTAGAGCCCAGGTGACATACCTGTGTTCTACAGCAGCAACTATGAACCCATGAGATGCAAGATCAATGCCAACAGCAGAATAAATTGTCCTTCAAAACAAAACAAACAAACAAACAAACAGGAAGCACTGAAATAGCTGTCATGCAAAGGCGGGGTCCACTAACGAGCCTCGGAATGTGGAAGCCATCACACCCCTGTGGTAGTGCCCAGGGGTACACCAGAGAGCTGTGGTTCTCAAAGGGGGCACACTTCTGCCTCTCGGGGGATACCTGACAATGTCTGGAGGTAACTTCATTATCATGACCGGGCAGAGGGTGCTGTTGGCATCCAGTGGGTAGAGGGATGCTGTTAAAAATCCTACAGTGCACAGGGCTACCCTCCACGATAAGAAATTCTGAGAAATGTCAGTAGTCCTGAGGTTGAGAAACCGTGATGCAGTGATTCTAAATATTGCCTTTGAGAGCGCTGGATTTTAATCTTGGTCCTACCACTGACCAAGTATATAACTTTAGGCAATTGCATGACCAGATCTTTGTCTGCACCTGTAAAATGGGACTTTATAAAGCCTTTGCTTTAGAACAGTTAGAAGGTTTTGCTAAGACAGCGTATGTAGGAAGGCAGTGCAGTGTGGTGCTGAAGAGAACACGACCTGCTGTCTGACCACTACATTTGAATCTACCACTGCTTTGGATAAGTCACTTATCTGTCCTCTGCAACACTATGATAACTGGTGGGATTCTTGCAAGGATTAAGTACATTAATATGTTTTCAGTGCTTATAACCACATCTAAAACAGGGGAAAGGCTGAACACGTGTCAACTGTTATTTATTTAAACGACTGGAAACAATCATGTGCTAAGTAAGCTGCATTGACCCCTTCCAGTTCCTCATTCTGGACGATCTTCTCGCGTCATGCATTCAATAGGAAATGGCAATAGAGAACCAAAGAGAGGTAGTGGGAACGATATCCTCTATTGTTGAAGATACGCAATCGACCCAGGAAGGGGAAATGGGTCTAGTACAGGGATCAGCAAACGTCTTCTGGAAAAGGCCAGAGTGTAAATATTCCCAGCTTAGTGGGCAATACGATATCTGTCACAGCTGCTCAACTCTGCTGTCGTAGCACAAAAGTCGCCGCAGACAATGCGAAAGACGAATGAGTGTGGATGTGTTTCAGTAAAGCTTTATTTATAGAACTGAGCAGCAGGCTAGAGTTGGTCCTCAGATTCTAACATGCCAACCACTGGTCTGGTAGAAATCAAAGAAATGGCTCCAATTGAAGTACCGAAGATAATTTCTTATTGCAGAAGCTACCCAACTTCTGGCCAACTAAAAGTCACCTTTAATTTTCTGAAAGTCTTATAATCCTCTGAGGTAGAAAGAAAGGTAGGCAGTTGAGAAAACAGAGGAGGCGTGGGTGTGGCGGTCATGAAAACGTGCCACTCTGAGATCATGCCACAGAGAGCATAGTTGACTAAAGACCCCACTGAGCCCCTTCCCCTTTGGATCCACCACCACCAGCTAAGCTTCCTGTGGGCTGTGCCCAGTGACTGGGCATGGCACGGGTAGCAATGGAGACCCATTCCTGTGAGATGCGAGGCTCCTTTGATGAGCAACTTCGAGTTAAGCACTCTCTCATTTGGCCTGGTCCAGTCTCTGCTAGAACTGTGCTGTAATCTGGGATTCTCCATACCCAGTCTCTCCATTCCCCATCTCCTTCCCAAGTGTCCAACCTGCATCATGATCTGAAGATTCTGTCTTTTCCTCTCTGTTCCCTCTATCCTTCATGGGCATTTCTCTCCATAAATGTCTTATAGCCAATCCAATCTTGGTGCACGCTTCTCAGAAGACCTGAGCTAATCCAGGGGATGGTTGTGAGAGTGTATTGTACTATAGAAGGGTGACAGCCCCAAATGCCACCTCTTCTGTCCTCATCATGAGGCTAGTCCCCATGAGCTGGAAGGAGAGAACAAACTACTTGACCAGATAGGGCTGGACTGATCAACAGACCATGGTCAACATTTGAGGAACCCCAATTCCTCCAAGACGGGGGTGACCATGATACTCCAAACTCTGCTCTTCTTTTTGCGAGGGGAGGGCAGGGAATGCATTGCCATTGGACCTTAGGGGTTAAAAGTTTTCCTCTCACACATTACCGGAATGCTCCAAGACCATGAGAAAAAACTATTAGTGGGTATTTTTCACCAGTCCTCAGAGGAGAATTCCAGTTTGCAGGAGTTGTCATTGAACCTAGACAACAATGAGAGATTATAATTAGTGTTTGCTCCGACTTGAATGTTGCCACCTAATTTAATTTACATCTTCTTAGTAGAAATCCTAACTCATGGAATTTATACTTTATGTTTTTATGTACTAATAGTAAATTCATTAAAAAGTCTGCTGCTAGATACTTAACACCCAAAGACCTGAAGCATGTAGTTTTTCCTAAGACCGTAAAATCATGAATTATCAGTTTTCACTGCCAGCTCTGAACTGAGGGTGAGACACTTTACCCCTTACAGGTGTATTCAGAAGGCTGTTCCTGAGCACCAACCCCGGGTCTTGGTGAAACTTCAAAGGGAATATTCTGAAACCAAACTACCGAATAAACCTCAGGAGTGTTACCCTGAGAACCAGAATCTTCAAATCTCTTTTCATTCCATGCTAATTTGGTAACGATCAAGACAGACCGCTGACTTCATACTCGGATGTGCCTTTGGATGCAGCTCTACCACTTACTATTGACCTTGAGCAAGTAACGAGAACTCTCCGAGTCTCCGATTCCTCTTTTGCACAATGGAGGAAATGATACCTGATAGGGCTTTTGTGAGAATGTTATCTAAGTAGGCAACATATGTAAAGCGCCTATCTCGTGCCGTAAGAAGGGGCTCACAATGTGGAAGGCATTGTCTTCCCTCGTTTCACTTCTCCATTGCTATTGTCATTATCACCATGAGTTATTTGTGTTTCATTTTCTCATTTATAAAATGGAGAGGCAGTCATAAAGCTTGAACGTGATGATTGCCGTGGAAGTGATCTGTTAACTTATTCGGCAACATAAAGAGGTGTTAGTTACGGTTCCATCATTTCTGTTATTAGGTGGTTTTTAGGAAAACTCCAAGGAGATGTTTCAAAGAATGCCAAAAGTGGCAGGTAGTTTTGAGAGGGAAATTTGAAGATGTAGTCGACACCGGCCCAACAGTAGTGTCTGGTCAAACAGATAAGGAAGGAAACGTCTATATTAGTTATAAGTAGACAAATGAAGTGGGGAATGCACATCAGGTTGTCTTGGTGAGGGAGGCTGGTCCCTTGGCAGGTAGGAGATGGGAATGACAGCGGAGTCTCATCATTTATGACGGGTGAGAAATTAGTTTTCACTTTCGCACAAAGCATACAAAAGGGAAGTGGGCACTTACCAGATGATTGCTTCCCTGCAGTATATGAGCAGGAATATCAAAGAATATCTGCCACAGGCAGATATTACAGCCGTCTTTAAGTCTGGCACTTTCCCTACCTCCATATACCCCGATATATGCAAAACGAACAAAACGAGAACCCCTGCTTCTCTGACAGTTGCCTGGGCTTTTAAGAAGCAATTTGTCATCGGGGTGCCTGGGTGGCGCAGTCGGTTAAGCGT